CTCCAGTGAAGTTAGCTCACATGACAAAGTCCCAAAGCTGCAGATGCTGGAGTGGATGTGTAGAGAAGGGAACACTTTTGCACTACTGTTGGGACTGCAAACTAATACAGCCGTTATGGAAAGAAATATGGATAATTCTCAAAGAACTAAAAATAGACCTTGCATTTGATCCTGCCATCCTATTACTAGGCATCTACCCACAAGAAAAAGAATCATTTTACCTAAGGACATTTGCACTGGAATGTTCATTGCAGCTCAACTCACAATTGCCAAGACATGGAAGCAACCCAAGTGCCCATCAACTAATTAATGGATTAACAAACCCTGATATATGTATACCATGAAGTACTATTCAGCCATTAAAATGATGGAGACTTTAAATCTTTCGTGTTTACTGGATGGGGTTGAAACATTCTTCTTAGGGAAGTGTCTCAAGAATGGAAAAATAGTATCCAATGTACCCAATATGCATATGAAACCAATATATAAACAATACACACCCACAAGAAAAAACACAAGTATAGTCTAGTAAGGGGGAAGGGAGAAAAGGGAGAGGGAAGCATGGGTAGGGATGGCGATTGGCAAGTTTTCACCTAATGTGCACGATTTGGGGGTATACAGCACAGCCCCTGGGTGAAGGGCTCAACTACAACTTGAACTTTATCTTGGAAGCAAAAGCAATGTAGCCTAAACATTTGTACTCTCATATCAATCTGAAATTTAAAAAAAAAATAAAATCACCATTTAAAGGGATAAACATCTCTTCCACATAAGAAAAAAAAAGTCACTCTACATACATTGTTGACCCCTAAGAGTTATTTCTCTTTATAGACTATAGTATCACTGTCAGTTTCACTCACTTTTCATCTCACAGAACGAAATTTCTCCAGATAATTCTGTCTTGCACACACCATTGGTATAATACAGCAAATCCAGATTGAGACTGAATTGTTTTCTAACCACTCCTGTAACAAGAATGATCCATCCTTTCCATTGTGCCCATGACCGTGTGAATGGTTGCATTTCCCCAAAAGGCTTACATGTTCTTAGGTACTCAGAGGTTTGCTGTGGGGTCTCTTGCTCAGCCTGTTGTATTAACTAGAACAGCACATTTCCCCCTCAGACATGCATTCTACGCTCTTCAC